TTGTATGTGTAATGCAGTAACTTAAGTCTTAAAATTAACATCATGGGTTAAAAAAAAACAAAAAAAAAAACAACATCAGTATCCTAAACTATACCCTCAATGTGATGGAGGGATCACCTCTCTCAGTTCTATGATCTGCAATATATTTTCCTTGGATGCTGAACAGAACACAGAGATTGATAAAGCAATAATAACAAAAATAACTCATTTAGCAATTAGAGTTTGAAACAACTCCATGTTGACCACTAACATCAAGATGAAAGTTTAAACATGTTTAATACTGATTTATGGCAGTTAAACATGGGCATTGAATCTGTAATGTTGGTGAAAGTACACCGTCTTTAATCTTGTTGGGAGTAAAGTTCTCAATTTCTAAATAAATGTGATTTGCTTTTTAATATCAGAATAGAAATTATAGTTACAACTAGCTATTCCAACAGTAAAATGAGACACCCTTCTAGTTTCTAGTAGTATGCTTACAATCATGCAATCAAGGTACCAAGGAGGAAAGCTCAGAACGACTATGAAAATATTTATAGAAAAGGTAGAGAGAAGCCATGTCACAGCAGTGGGGAAAGTGATTGAAGTCAAGACATCAGGACTGATAACATTACAGATCCTTCTTTGGATTTCATTGAGAATCTGAACTGATAACAGCAAAGTTCAATGCATGAATAAATGGTAGATTTATTTCAAATTCACAAGAACTTTCCTTCCAACCAGATATTTGCATTGTCTCAAAAGGATTTGGGTATTATTTGACAGGATTATACTCCCAAATAAGAATATTTTGACTTAGAAAAGTTTCCATATTTTAAAAAATACATAAACATAAAAATGCAAAACCTATATCCAAACGATCTGGCTAAATAAAGATCAGCTTCCTAATCTTACCACTATTATAAAGACATTAATTGCAATGGACATTGAGGTTTTAAAAAGATGATTTCATTTTTAAGTATTAGGCTAAATTAATGTCTTTTAATGAAAATTAGAAAATAACTGTTGCATTTTAACTGAAGAGAAATCATTTAAAAGAAATAATAGAAACAATGCTTCAAGTTTAAAAAAAAAATTACTGGCCAGTAAAGGTTATCCAATATAGTGTAGATACATTTAAAAAAAATAAAAATAAATTGTCACTCAGTACTGTTCAATCATTAGATATCTTGAAAGAGTAATTGCTGGCATGCCTAGAGGGTTAATACAATGTGAGTGGACATCTGGCAAACCAATCCTACAACCACCTTTCCAGTCAAGTAGTATAACATCAAATTTTAAAACCCAGGTTAAATATTCAATGTAGATATGAGAGTTTAGCTCAACTAAAAAAAAAAAAAAAAAAAAAAAAAAAAAAAATTTAAATTGAGAAAGGAAGGATGAGAGTTATGAAAAATATTTCAGTTAAAGACTATCATGAATTTTCAACTTTAAAATAGACCAAGACTTCTTACATTAACATTTCTGCTATAAATTTATTCAAAAAAAAAATTAAAAAAAAAAATTTCACTAGCTTCATTATCAAGAGTTTTCTATACTGTTCCACTCTAGAAATGACTACAGTAAGATTTCCAGATTATGGGATAATTATAATAGCGCATTGAAATATAAAATAATCCTTATGTTAAGACAATATTATAGGAAATTAAGATGATATTTTAAGATTAAGATTTGTAATCTTGTTGGATGTTGACAGATGCATGCAACTTGTCAAACTGCAAGTCAGGTACTGTTCTGATAATATACAAAAAATATAATTGTACAATATACAAGATATACAATATTTATAATAATGTATGTTAGGAATACATACAATTGAATACATAAAAAAAAAAAATGTATAGAAAAGTATACAGTGGAACCTCAGTTCACAGATTTAATTTGTTCATAAAGGCCATTCATGACCTGAACTGTTTGTAAACTGAAACTATTTTCCCCATAAGTATCAATCTAAAATAGATTACTATATATACTCATAAATCATGTTACTTTTGAAGACCTAATTTTGAAGCTAATTTTAAGGGGAGTCTCATGTCATAAGCGATATATAAAATTAGTGTATATACTGCTCGCCCTGGCTATGATGTTGACCAAACTATATATCCATTTACTGTAGTCAAATTAGATTAAAAATTAGGTCTTCAAAGGTCACATGATACACAGAGTATATATAGTAATTTATTTCTGTATCCCAGATGATTGCTTATTTATATTTTTACAACAGGACTGTGTACAAATTCATACACAAAACCAATGAAAATTATTAAATTTAACAGAAAAAATGACTGGTTGATTATGATAATCTTCCACTTTTACATACAAGACAATATGGAAGCTAACATTATTTTTTAATTGACAAAATTAATAGAAACCAAATATGTTTATTAAGTAAAAAACGATAGATATAAATATAGACAAAAACAAGTTAATTTTACTGGGGGGATATTTGATGGCATAAGTGGAAGGTGGTGAGGCAGGGGATAGGTTATTGCTTGGAAGGTGGGTCCCCATCCATAAAAACATCAGGTTACTGTCTTTCTGGAGTTTCTTCTCAATCTCTTAGTACCTCTTGACTGTTTGAGACTCACTGGGCTTCTGCCTCACTAAAGATTTCAACAATTTGTTTTTTGTCTACATTTTAAAGTGAGACATGGCATTGTCATCGAAAATGCTTATACTGCAACTTGCTATTGCTTTATCAGGGTGATATTGTTCCCCAAAAATTTGCACCTAACCCCATTTTGCACAAATTTCATCAGCTTGTATGTTTATCACTTGAGACACTGTTCATCACCCAAGGATTTTTTTTCTTTTTGATCAGAAAATTTATTTGTGAACTGATTTGTTCATGATGAGGTGTCCATGACCCAAGGTTCCACTGTTATTACATTTTTTTATACATCCATATGTAAAGTGTATGATTATTTACTATGAAAGTATTTATTATATATATCTCAAGGAAAAAAATTAAGATTCTTATGCTGAGGTATGAGAATAACTTAAAATAGAAAGATATTATGGTATATCAGAGCACAATAGATTGTGCACATAAAGTAGTAGAAATAACACAGTACACTGGAATTTTATATAAGCTTGCCTCTTCAAAAGTAACAATATTCAAAGAAAAGCTAAAAATGAATTTTCAGACCTGGTCTCTTATGAATCACTCAATATTTTACCCTAACAAATTAAAAAAAATAGGGGAGGGCTGTTCCTTCAGCTGACATACACACACACACACACACTATATCAGATCACTCTTACAAGATTCGGGCAATTTTTATAAGTTTATAAAAAAAAGTTTTTTTCATTTTATAATTGTTTTTTTTTCTTTTTATATTAATATTTTCATTTTATTATTTTTTTTTTAATTTTTAAGTTTTTAGTTTCAATCTTGAAGCACAGTGACAGAAGTGATCAGAATTAACTGAATGGTTGGAGTATATCTAAAAAAATAAGAAAATTCTTTACAATTTCTCAAATATGCAGAATTATATATAAAATATGCTGTATTGCATATTGTCAATATGCAGTTTATATTTACACACACAAACATTTGCAGGATAAGTATGCAATATAAAATGTGTTTAAGTGATTTGACTAATATATATATATATATATATATATATATATATATATATATATATATATATATCTCACAAAGTATTTTTTTTTTTTTTCCTTAAATGCAAACTTAATATAAGTATTTCAGTTTACTTGTAGGAAGTGATACATACAAAAAAAGTAGTTTGATTTTATACAAGAGGGGATGCTGGGAAAAGGCTAGTAATATTATATATATATATATATATATATATATATATATATATATATATATATATATATATATATATGTATGTATGTGTGTGTGCAAAGAGTGAAATTTTAGTGTCTTGTAAGGAATTTTTGTAACATTCTGTAAATACAGACAAGTATCAAATAAAAGAACTAAGAAAATACTTCTGTATAACTGTATACAGAATTCAAATTATGTTGTGGAGAAAAAGAAAAATATAACATCACTACATTATTATGAACAGTTTATATAAATACTCAGCTATTCCATCACAAATTTGAACTAACATTGACAATACCACACTTTTTCAAGGGAAGGAGATGTTGGGGACTTCACCTCCCTCTAAAAATTTCAATTATCACCTAATATCAATCCATTCATTCACAAATACTTAACTTCACTCATTCCTATAACCACAAGATTAACATTTTTTTTTTTTGTTTTTGTTTGTATACACAAAATATAATTTTTCATTTTTTTTTAAGGTGGTAAAAAAGAGTGAACAAAAAAATTGGTAAAGTCCAGATTATTCCCCCCCCCCCGTCCCCGCCAATTAACCCACCTTTTCAACATTTTCATTTACATCAGATGGGGTAGAGTTAAGATGGCTTAAAAATAAAGGGAAAAAAATCTCCCCTAATCTGTCATGTTTGTGAAAATATGCATAAAAGATACAACTGGAAAAAGATGAGGATTTAATAAAAACAGAAAAGGCCAACCACTTATTGTCATTTCAAATTCAAAATCCCAAAAATTTCAAACACAGCCAAAAAAATAAAATGACATTAATTCTGTTTTTATGAACTGTTCGTTTACTGCTACCATTGCATTTTTTTTTTTCAAAATATACTTTGCCAAAACTAAAAATTTATATTTTTTCAAGATAAAAATTATAATTGAATTATCTCTGTATTGAATTCCTACAAATGCATTTCTAACTTTATAATTTTTTTTTTTTTTTTGTAAGAGGGAGAGAAAAGGCTTTTGTTAAAACCATTAATTCCTATAATTTTCTATATAAAAAAATTTTCTTATAATCGCCTTTATAATCAAGTGGAGGGGAGCAAGACATTTTTCCTAAGCAAATTTTCTTTTTAACATTACTCTTTACATAAAAAAATAAAAATAAACAATATATATATATATATATATATATATATATATATATAAATAAATTTAAGTAAGCAGTTCCCTGAACTTCAGTTCACACTTCCTCGCCAGTCCGTTCATCATTAAGAAATTCTTCAAATCTGTCATCCGTAGTATCACTTGGAATAACGGGAACAGTTGTGTTGTCAACAGTAAAGAATGCCATTTTCTCACTGAGAAGTGAAAAATTAGAAAAATTTCGTTAAGAAAAAAAAAAAAATAAATAAATAAATAGAAAGCACTTCCACAAGACAAGTTTGAAAAACAATAAAACTCAAATTGTAGTTTTTTTTATGAAAAAATATCGAAAAAACAAAAAATTTTAAGATTATACAAATTATATAAATATAACTCAAGATTAATCTCTCTTAACATTAAAATTAATATACAATATATCAATTTGCCCAAATTTATAAGCATTACTAGCAATATTTTTTCTGCTCTTAATTTTACCCTTTCATCCAAATAACCATATTGTCTGCCATATAAGACTAATTTGATAATGGATATTTAGAAATAAAATAAACAACTCCTGTGAGTAATTGAATTATAAATGTGACTAAATACACAACCTACATTCTGCTTTCAAATTGCTATTTTTTGTAAATATCCCATATAGTAGTAGCAGTAATTTTGATAGTAAAAGTGATATTATGCAAGATCCTGGATGTAAATTTACCATAGAAGACTCAGAAATCAGTGCACTTTCTTTATATTTTTGCCTAATGAATTTTTCTCTTAATTAGGACTACATGCTTCAAGTCAAAATTATAGTCAGACTTATTACAATGAACGACCTAAGTATTGAATATATTGTCTTGTGAACAATCCCTTTTGTGTTCATATATTTGTTTTTTAAATTCCTAGAAGTTTTACTGATGTATTTCTTATGAAAGGAGGTGTATGAACCAGATGATAGGTAAATTTAAATAAAAGAATATGTGAACACAAAAGGCATCAGTTACAAAACAGTACACAATGTATTCATCATAAGTATAACCATAATGTTGACTTGGAAAAGGTAGTTTTAATTAAAAGAGAAAGTTTATTAAAACAAAAATGTATAGAAAGTTCACTAATTTCCGAGTCTTCTACAATAAATATACATTCAAGATCATACAACATCAAACCAAAACTAGTTACTATAATGTGGAATATTAAAAAAATAATAGCAATTAAAAACAAACAAAAGTGGTAGAAACCTGAATGATATCATCTAATTTGTACATCCATATTAAAAAATGATATCTAGTTTGTGCATTTAGGTGTCGACAATTAAATTTTAAGTTCAGCCATGTGGAATTATAACCAACATTTGTTATATTTAATTTTGTACCCCCTCTATACAGGGCTACTCAAGGTAGTGGCAACACAAGCAGTCACTCAAAGCACAATCAAGCCTGGGGGCACACTGCTATGTATTTGGAATCTTCCAAAACTAAAGCTTATAAAAACATACTTGCAGTCATCTATGATTCAAGAGATTAAATTCTTTGGCTATTTTGGAAATGATCTTGTAAAGAAGGTAAGTGCAGAAAGTGTCATGAAAAGACTTGCAGATCTAAAGGCTAGAAAAGACATGTTTTAGGATGGGAATAATAAATGTTTTCTTTAGCTTGTATTTAAGTTGTATATTGTAATAAACTCATTATTCTATATTTTCAGTTTTTCTGTGTGAAAATTTAAAAAAATTATACTTGTAAGTTCTGTTTGCCCAGGTTGCCAGTAACCTTAGGGCCATCACTACCTCTATATATAATTCCATTGATAAAAATATTTAATCTGAAGAAGTACTTTCAAAGGACTAAACACCTAACAGATTTTTTTTTCCATTTTGTCATTCAATTACTGATGATTAGTCCAATATAGATAATTTGTATATCATATTCTCTAATAATTTTGCATAATTGTTTTATATACCAAAATGAAATTATGATTACAAACCAAAACACTAGGAGAATAGAGTCAACAGAGGTGTTTATATATTTGTCTTATAAATCCTACTCAACTATCAGTCATTTTAGGATATTTTCCCCTCTCAAGAAAAAAAAAAGTCTGCTTATATGACAGTGTGATATAGCACTTAAGGATTCATTTTGGGTTTAATTTCATAATATTCATGTATATATATATATATATATATATATATATATATATATATATATATATATATATATATATATATATCTTTGGAATACAGTCTATACAATTTTTTTTAACATGTATTTCAATTTATTTTTAAATTGTCAAACATTTATCAAGTTTATATCTTATTTCCTGCACTATGACTCTTTACATAAAAAAATAAACAATTGTTCCTAAAAATTAGATTTCCAATGATAATATCATTAAAAGGTGAAAATAATTATGTACATTTTAAAGTATTATTTATATGGCTTGCATACAGGAGAAATGCTAAATCTATGAATGTTTTTTAAATAGAATTTAGTTAAAATTAAATTTAGCAACTTCTTAATACTGATACAGTTGATTTAACTGAATTATAAATTACCAAGATCGAGAAAAATAGTTATGATTTTTAGATATCTTAATCTTATTAAGCATATTACATTTTAAATACTTTTAATCCTCATAAGACAATGTAAAGAGCTTGTATTTCAAGTAAAAACTATACCTGAATGCATTTGGGAAGAAGTTTTTCTGCAGTTTTTGAACATCACGTGTCACTTTCTTCATGATTTGTTCAGCACGTTTGTTTCTTTTTGAGCAACTAGAGTCATTTTCACTTTTCTGAGCCTAAAGAAAGAAAAATTGGAAAAATTTTCCTTAAGAATTAAATAAAGAAGTGAAATGAGCTGCAACTAAACATTAAATTCAAGTTTATAAAATATTTGTAAATAAACAAATTAGTCAGTGAAAATTTATTGCAAAAAATTTAATATATCAGTTTGAAACTTTAACATATCAAAGAAAACAAATATTTAAATTAGGAAAAGAACATGTGCTGATCAGTATTGTACATTATTCAATATTAGCAGCTTGAATAGATTGGAGTGAATATTTATTGAACAAACCAAATTAACTTTTAAAAAAGCAAATATGATTTCAAGTGGTAGCATCAAATGTTATACAAAGAAAATTACCAAGTTAAATATCCTAAAGAATTATTTTTTAACATTATTTCTCCCCAAGCGAGGCAATAAAGCCACTGAGACGCAAATGTGAGAGAATGAGGGAAAAAAAGACTATTAAGAAGAGAAGACAATAAAAGAACAGGAATTAAGACAGAAGATAACAATTGACATTGCATTTAAATTTTTGAAGATTGAAGTTAATTGGGGAAGCAAGAAGCCAGAAGAGAGTTCCACAAGCAAGAAGTGCAAGAGAAGAAACTGCTAGCATAGAACTTAGTTACATCTAGCCATTTTATCTGTAAAATGATGAGACCTTGCCATTAGTCTAGTAGTATGATTAAATTCATAAAGTCTAGGTACCATAGAGGAAATTTCATCAGAACAATTACCATGAAAGAATTTATAGAAAAGGCACAGGGAAACTACATTAGTAGTGGGAAAGTGACTGAAACTAAGATGCCAGGTCAGGATTCAGATTGCAGATTCTTCATTGTATTATAACAAGAATCTCTAAATGCATAGCAGAAGCACCATACCAACATAAAAAAAATAAAATAAAAAGTTACATTCTTTACAAGTACTATGCCTTTATGTAAATACTTAAGCTTGTGAATTATAATTCACAAAAGACCTAGCAGAAGTTATATACTGTGAATTATTTAGAGGATTAACAATTCTAAATTATGATTTTACTTAAAATTAGTTATGATTGTTGAGTCTTCTTCTGTATAAGACATCTATTGTTTTATTTCCTCTTGTTAATCCCCTTTTTAATTTAGGTACATTTTATATTTCGACCACTTCTTGTTTAGCCTTTAGTAATTATCAAATTTGGTACAATAAACTCAGGATCAAGACATGCAGTTCCTACTTTCTTGTTCTCTTATTTTAACCCCAAATAATAGCATCACAGTTCCCCATTTTTGGCATTCATAAAAATGCTGATGAACAGGACTTCAGAGATTTGATTGCCATAAGCCATTTGAGGTACGCATAAGCTTAAGATGTATACATATTGGAAGGTAATATAGTGAAATGGTAACTTTAGCTAGGTTAGGCTAGCATTTCTCGCTATCTTCAGACACTGCTACGTCAAATCACCAGGAAGGTTAAAGGCACTACAGTAGTATCACTATAGCTGAAGAATCAACTACACTCAGAACTACATTATGGGCTTTGTGCTACTTGAAAGCTTCAAGAAGGTCAGCAGCTGCCACTGCTGCTATGGCACAGGATAAAGCAAAGCGGAGTCTGCCATGACACTTTGTTTGCCGACAAAGAAGTGAGGATGAAACTAGAATAGGCCAAGTTGAAACCATTAATGGAAATGTTATCAATGAAAAGATAAGCTGTCATTGAAGCAGAGGCCATGGAAGTGGCCATAGAATCTAAAAATGAGCAACTGAGCTGCAGTCACCCAGCACTTGAATCCACTCCACCTGACACCACACAACACACTATGGAATATATTGTGGACCAAAGGTGTCAGAAAAAGTTACAGTGGCCAAAATTCCAGACATTCTCTGGTGAAATCACCCAAAAATGCACAGAAGACACCCAAAAGTGCACCTAAGCTCTTATTCTTAAACTAGATAACACCATTCACTCTCTAAATGTCTCTACTACCATCACCCATCATTCACAGACTGCCAACACATTGAACTTCAAACATCTAGACATTTCTTTCTCATCAGCAGGCAGGCAGTGTCAAGGTTGTACAAAGGAGGATAAATATGAAGATAACCTTCTTCACACACTCCAACATGTGATGGATTTCATCAGATGGACTCATCAGGAACTGGTTATGACTGGTCTACTCCAGTTCAACAACTGAAATGTGAGCAATAGAGCTTGGGGGTGCTCCTTCTAGAGCACTACAGGAGGACTCAACCTAATGCACAGCAAAGAAATGGATCTTCTCTGTGTAAAACACTAAGAGAATCAGGGTTGTCCATCTGAACCACCCAAAAAGAGGACTAAGGATGATGTGGGACACTCAATGAGTACTACAGCTCCCCAAACAGAGAGAGAGAGAGAGAGAGAGAGAGAGAGAGAGAAAGCAAGAGTGCAAATGAGCTGCTGCTTCCCAAAAATGTGAAGCAAAGAATGCTCAAAGCTGACCACCTTATGGAGCACCAATCTGGAGACCTTCCTAGACTTGCTTTACTAGATACAGCTTCAGGAGTCAACCTCTAGTGCAAAAGACTTCCCTTCAACCTCTAAGAGAAGTGGTTGTTCCTGGGTTCCAGCTACAATCAATAGTATCAGGTTCCTTTCCCTCCCTTCTAAGACTAGAAATGATCCAATCTTTAGCTTTATGCCACATGCAGAAATAAAAGGCTTCCTGGCAGCAAAGCAAAGGGGATAATCTTAGTACAAAAGACCAATCACCCAAAACTCTTGTCAACATGAAGCAGAGACATAAGGTTGAAGAACATAAGAAACCCCACATCCTGCAATGCCATGCCTTTCATAAGAATAACTTGAAAGCCATCTCCTTCAGATGTGTATCTACTTCCAATATGCCAAAAGATGCAAAGCTAAAATCAAACTGCACAGATTCTAACAGTGAGAAGCACAATACCACTCTCAACCCTGGACCAGCCAGAGGCTACCAAGTTGAATCTATTGACGGACAAGTTAATCTTCTACTCGCTAACCTTATTGAAGGTGACAAGATTCCAGATAACAGATCTGATATCCCAACACTAAAAGTGCCTCCCCACTACCCCCACTTAAAAGTTAGTAGTACATCTGATCCAAGAACATGAACCCAAAATGCTATCATGCTTCTTCTCAGTCAAGACTTCATTAGAATACATAAAGTGTGTAGACAAGTCAATAGCCCCCACAATGCATGCTATGCCAAGAACCTTGACTTAGAATGGGATATAGTAAATATCTGTCTAGGAAGAACACATGTCACTTGCTGCAAACACATCTTATACTAATACTTTTGAGAGAGGTAACTGTACCATCTTTGATCCATGTCTGAACATCCTCCAAATTAAAAAGTTTTGGTAGTAACCAAACCCATGAACCCCCATTACGATATCTCAAAAAATCCATCTTTTACAAGGAAAAAACTAACTGGGTCACATTGTATTTCAACAAATGAAGATAACAACTGTCTGGCACTTTCTATCAAAGATATTTTCATGGACATCATGGAATAAAAATGTACTAAAAATGAGTCTAACAGCTGGGTGGCATCACTGCCATTTAAGTCCCCTGGGCACTGTCTCCCAAACAACAGCACACAAGCACCTAGCAGACAGTTGTCCTTCAGATGCATGCATGAAAGGAAACCAGAAATTTTTAGATCACTTTATCTCCTTTACAGAGAAAACATTTGAAAATGGTCAGATAGAATTAGCTCTCTCTCTCTCTCTGAGAAAATGAAGAATCGTGGTACTTATTTAAAAAAAAAAAAAAAAAAAAAAAAAAAACAGGAAAAATCCATGTGATATTTGATTCTAATGCCCAGTATAATGGTGTGTTGCTCAACAATGTTTTATTTACTGACTGATCTCAATAACTCACTTTTGGGAGTGCTTATTTGCTTTTGTAAGAAATCAGTTGCCATTACAGCAAACTTTGAGCAAATGCTCAAATTGTTTTCTTGTTAAGGAAGAACACAAAAACTTGAAATTTTTTTAAACAATGACCCAACTAAAGATTTTGCAGAATACAAAATGAAAGTTCATGTGTTTGGTAACAGTCCTTCTCCAGTCATAGCAATTTAATGCCTCAGGACAACTGGACTATGACCAAAAGTTGAATACTTTGTCAACTGTGACTTCTATGCCAATGACTGTTGTTGCTACCTAATCAAGGCAACTATCTCCCTGCTCCAGAAAACAATGTATTCTTGCTAAATTAAATCAAAGGTTACACAAAATTACCTCTAACAAGAAAGTATAGCTGACTTTCCACCTGATATGCAAATTATATGAAAAAAATTGGATTTGAGTAAAGATGAACTGCTAACAAAATACAGGGTTGGCTGCAACTGGGACCTCAAGACAGACACATTCAAGGTAGACAATATGGACAAGCCCTTTACATGAAAGGGAGTTCTATCAATTCTAAATAGCCTTTATAATACTTTGTGATTTGCCACTCCTGTGACTATTCAAGGCAAATTTATTGAGATTGGGATTTCCCATTGCAAAAATGAGTTTCCATGCAAATCAGTACTGCAATCTTGGCAACAGTCCCACCTGTATTGTTTCACTACATTCTCTAAACACCAAACAACTCTTGTTGGAGAATGTATCAATTGGTTCAAGAGAGAAACTGATTATTCCCAGTACACTATGTGCACCCAAGTTGGGATCTCCTCTCCAGTTTGTCCGATTTATTTTTACAGTTATAAAAATGATAATTCATTTGGTTGATTTGGTTTAGTGCTATATTAAACTATGGATTACTTAATGCCAAAATCTAAATATTTTGTATGTAATTTTATTTTTTGGAAATAATTGTGTTTAGTGATAATATTTTTACTAATTAACCCATTGCTGGTGGCTTCATACCTTTCCCAAGGGTATTTACTCATAAGTGAATATAATGAATTCAACTGGAATTAGAACTTAGTTCTTTGATTAGTAATTCTGAGCCATCATCCATTACATTACCTGCACATCCAAGCTACCAGCACCTGGTACTTCCAAGCAGTCACCCATCTAGGTACTGACCATGCTTGATGTTGCTTAACTTCAGTGATCGTACAAGAACCGGTGTTTAAACCTAATATATTTGGTTACTTGTCACTGAAATATCTAGAATAGATAGTAGCCTGACCAAAATATTCCTCCTGTTTTTATCCTGCAATGGTATTTAACCATCATATTTTGAAAGCATTTGTTGCAGTATACATTAAAATATTTCTAAATCTATCATTTTTTTTTTTTTAAATGAATGCGACCTGACAGATTTGTGCAAGATACTGTGAATGATTAATATATCAAGAGTGCTTTGCAAAGATTCATGCTAAAAGATCTCACTGAACAATGCTCCTCAGTTTGGTAGATCAATTGAGGCTGATAGCAATCAAATCAAGACTTGATAATAATTAAGGTTATTATATGATGCAAAAGCCAATAAGATAGCTAATAGTCAAAATTACAAAATCAAGCACTGAAAATGAGCACCACTTTATTAGATGTTGTGAAGCTTTTCATATAAACCTGCTGGGCCATAGTTCCATGTGCAAATGTTCTGACAGATGATAAAAATTATATACTTTATAATTATGATAAACAAGAGATCAGGGAACAAGTAAAATAGAGTACAATGAACTGACCATGCCAAAGACTAGTTTCCACTCAAATGTGATGATGTCTACATAGTGAAACTGGAATGGAGTTGTTTCCAAAAATCTTCTAGAGAAGCAGGCTTAAATTTAACAGGTACTGATCCCAATATCCAATCAGAATAATACTAAAGATGTTTCTTTGGTGACCAAAAAAAATTGTTACAGTCTGTTTGGAAGTTTTCATTCTTCTGTCATGTTTAGTAGATATTAAACATTTGGATATACCATTTATCACTGTCTTTATAGAATATATTTAATAAAAAAGAAAATAATTCCCCAAAAAAGGTACCCCAGGCAGTTTCTTTTTTAGAAAGATAAAAGATAAGGAAGAATGGAAATATTAATAATTACTCAATTTGTTCAATAAAGTTAATATAAAAAATTAAGTCTTATACCATAAAAAATGTTTTAGTCAACCTATAAGTCTCTTTAAATAAATGAAATAGCAAAACAATTATCCAGGTTAAAGATGGAAGTAAATAGGAAAAATAAGTAGAGGTTAAAGGTTACAAAAACTGGGAGGATGTAAACTAGAATAATATTTTTAACAAATGGGGTTGAAGAAATGTTTTAACAATCAAATAATATAAGTATCATGAATAAAAAGTGTAAAAATTTATTCATCAATCTAGAAACTTTTCCCTGTCAAAAGAAGCAAGAAGATTTAATTTTCTTCATAAATATGGATTCTGAAGCTGAAAATTTAAACAATTAGTTTTCAAATAATTGATATTTAGTTCTCATAATTCTGCAATATTTTTGACAGGGAGACCAGAAAGTATGAACTTACTTTAAAAACGAAGATTAGAGTCTTTAAATTTTTTTTTTTCTAAGGAAAAATTTTAGATGCTTCAGATTTATTTTAATTTAAGGATTTAACTGCATCTAAAGCAAATAACATTCTATTGACACTCTTACCAGGCTTTAATGTTTGCCTTTGATCAGAATAAAATGAAATTTACAAGATAAAAAATACAGTGTAATAGCAAAATGCCATGTATAATGCATTGGGTTAAAGGAAAACAAATTTGCAGACATGTTGGAAAAGGTCATGGTTAGGAATGAGAAACCTAGTAGTATGTCTATAGTTAGAAATGCCTGATCAAAGAAAACAATTAGATTTCATATGCAACAACAGATAGCATTAGCTGGTGAAGAAAACTTATTTGAGAGCAGATATTCATGTTAATATAAAATATTAATTATGTTAATAACTACTATTTTTTTTCATATTACTTTTTAGAGTAATGTTTAGTTTGTTTTTACATTATCTGGCTCAAGTAGCATAGATAAATAAAGTCAGTAACTTTGATTAGATTTACACATAGATATAGGCTGCTAATTCAAATCTGAGGCCACTTTGTTTTTCAATTTCTGCTTGTTACAGAATGAAATACTAATATAAGCATTATGAAATTCAATAAGTGTATCAATATAGCAGGAAAAAACATTCAAAATCAAGTCCTTTATCTAAACATTTCACCAACATAATATACAGTTATGTTTGTATGGAATTAAAGTTCTTTAACAAAACTTTCTATATTTGAGTTTTATATTAGGATTTACCTGATTACATCAACAGCTTCTAATGATACAGCTCTAAAAATAAAATTTTAAAAATTCTATTTTTAGAGCTGCATTATATGTACGATAGCATTGAAGATCAACTAGACTATAGTCAATAAAATCTTATCTCAATTCTCATTCATTTTGTGTGTCTGTGCATAAAAATTAAAAAGATCAAAGTTCATTAATGAAATTCATTAGTTGAAAATAAAAAATTAAATTAAAAAAACACATTAAA